AAATATTTCTTTACTGGAGAACAAATGCATACCATACCATCATGTTTGCAATTGGTGTAAAACCTGCAAAAGTTAGAGTTAATCTTGATGTTGTTGCAAATACCAAGCGGATTCGAAATATCGGGAAAGCTGAGTATGACAGAAAGAATTACGAATAAACAAGTCGTTTAATATATTATTGTAATACACTGGGGGATATATCAGCACACATAACCAAAGATGATACTGGAAGATTTGAATGATGTTATTGCCTTAATATGAGATATATTAACTCAATATTTCCACTTGTCTTTATTGATGATACAACTGCAAAAAACACTTTCAATTCCCCTCTTGTTATTGGTGTAATCGGTGATGTTCACAACAAAACAAAGGTGTTGTTTTTCTCTATACTTAGAAATCGCACTACCGAATCGTTCATTGATTTATTTGAGTTTTTTAAAAGCAAAAAAGAGTATTTAACTTCAGTCTACTGTGATAGTTGCTTTTCTCAAACTAAAGCTATGAGACATCATTTAAAGGAATTGGTATCTTTCATTGTGTGAGGCATATAATGAGGGATTTACAAGTGGCGTTTGGCAAAATGCAAAAATAGTAAATGATTTTTACTTAATAAATGAAGGTAAAATTAACGAAGTTGACTTTATCTCAAAGTTGATTGAACTGACTGGGTATGAAATGAATCAAGAACAACGAGAAAGAATTCAAAAAGCCATATCAGATTCGGAATTTTTAACTGGTGATTTACTAGTTGAGAATGCCGAAATATTTTTGGAAATTATCGGAGAAACAAAAGAAGACAGAAGAAAGGGGATAGTTAAAATTAACAAAAATGATAAAATAAGAGTCATTGAGAACTCAATAAGACAGAAAAATAGATGGTTACCATCTGAAGTTCGATTAAAAACAGGGGATAGTACAACTAATAGTATTGAAGGTTTTTAGGACTTATAAAATTGATAATAAAATAAAAAGAAACTCCTTTGGATAAAATTATCAAAACTGTTGTTTGTCAATGTCGTAATACCAACTTGCAAGGAGAAATATTTTAATACACTACTACTGCACTTTAATAATATCACCAACTATACTTCACTTTCTTAGTTGTGGTGTTGTTAATACTCTCTGTAATATCTATAAACATTCTAACGAGCTTACGGAGTGTTCAACTCGACAACCTTGTACGACAACTTGGTGTGAGTGTAAATCTTATCAAACGACCAATGTTCCATGTATTCTTATGGTCAAATTGTATGTCGAATTTTTAATTTTTTCTTTTCCAGTTCTTGCTTTTTCAAGAGAAAAGCTAATAGGAAATTTATACAAAAAGACAACACACACAATCAGTGTTCATTATAAAAATATTTCTGATCCTCTTTGTGACCACAATAATCTTCATTATCGTCTCGAAGAAGTGGAGCCGGCGATAGAAAGAAGTACGTTTCTCAAGGACAGACTGCGATCGTTTTTTTTAAAAAAATGTTGAGATCCAAGTGAAAAATGTAAAGCATCACCCAACGAGATACAAAGAACGGTTGTTAGTAGTGAAACACCTTCTACTGTTACACATTTGGCTCATAAAACAAAGGTGAATATCAAGGATTCAAAAATACAACACCATATTGGAGAAAGACCGTGAGTATTAGTCAAATGGGTGGGAAAGAACAATGCAACAAAACCACACCGTACAAAAAGGGAGGTTTTGGGATAAAACAAATAAGGAAGTGTAGTTTGTGTAATGTTGTTGGTCACAACAAGCAAAATTGTTCAAATAGATGCTTAAAATGTATGGGATGGGGTCATAATAAATTCTTTTGTACAAATACAAACTCCCAACAATGAAAATTTGAAACTACAATGATAATTAAATTAATTTAATTTTTTTGTTAATTGAATAATATAAAAAAATATTGTTATGGGAAAAAAATAAGAAACTTGTGATTGTTTTTTTGTTTTGAAAAACAAAAAATTTAAATGTTATATCATGGTAGACCATTTACTGTTAGATTTTAGGTTAATTTTTAAAATTGAATTCCAAAATTACAATTCAAGCAATTATTGATATAAATGTGTATTTTTTGTATTTTAGAATAATATAAATTGTGTTTAAAAGAAACCAATAATTGGTAAGAAAACTGTTTGTTATGTTGTATAACAATATTGTAATTTGTTATATATTAATAATAATAAAAGATTTGAAAGCTAAATATGCCAAAAGAATAAAAATAAAAATAATTATTTGTAATTTTGACAATAAATTAATAATCCCGTCATTGAGTGCCGGGAACTATTAAAAAATTATATTGAGTTTTGATCATAATGCTATATTTTGTTGTATATTTCTTGTTTATTATTATTTTGTATTACAGTTAGTTTCACAACAATTCCTTATTTTTCACAACAAATAGATTTCTGTTTCATAACAATTAGATTTGTACCTTTGTTCAGCCCTGTTTCAAAATAATTATTTTTTGTTGCACAATTTGCGTGATTGTCGCATAATTGGCATTATTGTTGCATATAAATATCGGGTGTTTCAGAACTATTTATTTATCCTCAAATCAATAATTTATTGTTCCAAAACAAAAAGTTGTTTCATAATTATTGTATTTTGTTTTAAAATAATATAGGATTATTGTAAAACCGCATTGTATTGTTTCACAACAAAAAGTTATAAATCAACAAAAATAAACTATAAACTAAAAAAATAAAGTAATGGCAATCGCATCTTTTGAGTTCATCCACCGAAATGAAGTCGAAGGATTCCTTAATCACGAAGAGGTTTCTCCAGTTGTAGAAGCACCACAACCAATAGAAATGGCAGAAAGAAGAACAGCCGATGACATTGTTGCCTCATTAGTCCCACTACCACCTCAGCCAATTGTACACACAGCTCAACAATTGAATAATGAGAGGACTAAGAGGATTTATGTCGTTGTAACAGAAACACAGAGAAAGACGTTAACCGAAGAATACGCTGAATATGGGAAGGCAAAAGACTGGAAGTACTATAGTGAAAAAAGTCGTATTGGTGAGTCTTCAGTTAAGAGATTATTGGGACAATTGGCTAAAGGAGAAGACATATCAAAACTCAGAAAACAAGGAAGAAAGTATAAATACAGTACTTCACTTCTCTCAGCTGTTGCCAAAAAGGTGTTACTTGAAGGAAAAACTCTCAGAGAAACCAAAAAGGCTCTCGCAGAAGAGGAGTTGAAAAAATAGAATTAGGGGAGGAACTCGACTTTGAAATTGTTATTGTGTCGACAATGTGCCGTTATATCTAGAACAAGAATATAATGGAAGAAGCGAACCTTCCACCATTGTCTTTTACCGAGGTTACTTTCAGGGGAGTCCGAGCAAACACTGATGAGAACAAGCAACTCAGAATCGAAAAAAGAAGAACCTTGCAGCAATACATGGACTCCGGCATGCAAGTAGCCTTTATTGATGAGAGTCACTGGAAAGTTGGCAACGTTCGAAGCAGAATGTGGGGGAAAGAGGCAAAAAACACATCAGAGAACAGCCTCTTGCGACTTTTAATTTGTCTTGCGTTTGTGCCATTAGTGACACTGGTTCCAAGTATTGTAAATTGTTTAATAAAGTAGTTGATGGTGCAATATTTACACGATATTTCAAGGCACTTGTTGACGCGTTCACTGCAGATGGTAATAACATTATTTTTGTGATGGACAACGCTTCGGTACATATGGACCTTCTAGTACCTTATGCCGAAACTAAAGGCTGCAAGGTGATGTTTAATGCTCCATATAGTCCTGAATGCAACCCAATTGAAATGATCTTCGGCATTTGGAAAACAAGAGTGGGGAATTTGCAGAATGTTAATATCAGAGATATGATCCAAAACATTGCAGAATGCTTTGAATTTATTACACCTGCTGAAATACGCAGAGTCATAACTCACTTTATTTCGGTAGTGACTCGTAAAGTTTTTTCCCATGAAGACTTGTAATTTTCTTAAGTTATCTCGTGTTTAACATTTTTTTTCTTATCGAATAGATTATTAATTTATACCAATATAAACTTTATAAAAGTTTTGCTTTTATAATGTTTTTTTGTTGATTTATAACTTTTTGTTGTGAAACAATACAATGCGGTTTTACAATAATCCTATATTATTTTAAAACAAAATACAATAATTATGAAACAACTTTTTGTTTTGGAACAATAAATTATTGATTTGAGGATAAATAAATAGTTCTGAAACACCCGATATTTATATGCAACAATAATGCCAATTATGCGACAATCACGCAAATTGTGCAACAAAAAATAATTATTTTGAAACAGGGCTGAACAAAGGTACAAATCTAATTGTTATGAAACAGAAATCTATTTGTTGTGAAAAATAAGGAATTGTTGTGAAACTAACTGTATTTAAATATTATTTATGTGTTTTTGGTTATTATTATTGAAATAATGTAATTAATGATGTAATGTGTTGTTTTTTGTTTACTCTTCATTCATTTCACAATCATAAAATGAATTTCAAAACACTAATCACATTAAAATTATTTAATTGTTGTTTTATGATACTTGTTGTGTTTTTAAAAAATAATGTGTTTATTATTGTTTTAATACAATTTTATTTCAAAATTGGCCAAATTCAAAGGGATGAACACTAACTATGACTCTATGACACCAACACCTAAAGAAAAAGAAGAAATCATTCACAACGACGCGGAAGCAGAATATCAACTTGTCAATAATAATGTGTTGCCAATCTCACGAAACTGTTGCCACAGTAAATGCGTAATTGGTGCGGAATATTACAGAGTCTATATATCAGTTGTGATGGTCTTGGTACCTACGATATTTCACTGGATTGCATCGTTTGTTTTTAGAATGGAAAGAAAGAATGTACTCATCGACGGTGTGAAGTGGTTTATAGTCGATTATAACGTTGCGTGCTTCATCCCATCACTCTTTTTCTTCTGTACAATTGTTGTTTGTTTTCATTGATAAATTTCTATGAATAAATAAGATGAAATAAATTGTTTAGAAATGCGGGGAACGGAACTCATGTTAAGCTCTTGGATATCTTCATGACGAACGCGAACCCGGTAATAATCCCTCGAAAGAACAGAAAGATTGGAATCACCCTCAACGGTGCAAAACATGTGAAAAAGACGTGCAACTTTAAAATGCAGAGTATGTAACGAGGAAATACTGTGTCATATGTTTAATAGTCAGACCATTAAGAAGTTCTCACTGCTCGTATTGTAACAATTGTGTTGACAAATTTTGTCATCATTGCCCTTGGTTTGTTTCAATATAAAACTATTTAAATCAGTCGATAGAGAGTATACTATATATATAGTATTATATATTAATAATTATAAGTATAATAAATTAATAGTATAAGTATAATAACTTATAAGAAGGTTGTGGCAGGGTCTATCACGGAACAGGGAAAAATTTGGAACTTGTCCCAAAAAAGCATTTTAAAATGAAAAGGGGTATAGTTTATTTGTTTATATGCCAAAAATAAAGTAGTTTTAGTAAAATTCATGGTTATGTTTGTTTTTGCGATCTCCAAAACCTTTTCTTTTCAGATGGGGATTTTTTGCCGCAGTCGTTTTTAATGTTAAAACGACAGTTAACAACAAAACTATAAAATATTAAAATGTATAGTATATAAATAAATGGTTTATTAATATAATATTTATACTATATAAAATAAAACTATTAATTATAATTGATAATATTATAAAATATTAGAAATTGTTTAATAAAGATGAAATAAAAAAATAACTTATTAAAATAAAATTTGTTATTAACCATACTTCTCTTAACACAGTTAAATGAAATCAACCAGAACAGAGCTGCCACCTTGCGATTACTTGTTAAAATTGATTTATTATTGCTTTTCATCATTTTCAAACATCAGATAGTAGTTTAATATACTTAATTAATTAAGAAAAATGTAATAGAATGGAGTATAAAAAACATTGAATCAAGATACTTGGTGTTGTTGATAAAAATAAGTTGTTTTATAAATATGCAATACTTTGATAGAACAGAAGAGTTATTATTCGCAAGTGAATAAGTGAAACGATTTTGTTCATCATTGATGCATTAACAGAGTGTTTGAAACAAAACTTTACTATTATGTACATTCTATTGTTTATTTTTTTATAATCTCATCAAAGCTATTATTGAATCATATATTTACCATATTTATGAGTTATTTATTTACTTAAAAACTGTCAGTCAGTTTGTTTTTTGATGTGTTTTAATATAGATCATAATTAAATTATTTTAAATTAACAATCATTATTATAATTATTGATTTTATTAATAAAATGTTAAAGAATATTATATAAAAGTACTATAAAAACAAGTGAGTGAAAAAAAACTGGCACTTTTTAAATTATAATAAAATATAATATTTATTGTTATATGTTATAAACACTTAAAATATTTCAAAAACAAAATGAAAAAATGAAAATAATTATAAAACAATTATTTCAAATTATTACAATTCACCTCGATAAAATTGATATTTTGAATACGAAAACGGAGTTTTGTAGTGACAGAAAAATTATTGAAATGGCTTGCAAAAACGGAGCTTCGAGACGGTGAATTCTCCGCAACGACATACAACTGGTAAGATGGGACATATGTGGTGTTTGTTGAGCCAAAAAGTGGTTCCGTTGGTGTTGTTTTGTATGTGTATTACTACTACACACAAATGACACAAACAACTGAACTAATCAAGGACGAAACAATCAAACAACGAATTAGAAATTTGGTGAACTTCTTGTTGTATCGAGATTGGAAGGATATTATTAAGCCAGACTATTCGATATAAGCAACGACGCATTGACTTCCTTAAGTATCCCACCGCAGTACTATGGATTCACACAAATTCAAGGCCACCACAGATTGTTGGCGGCTGCTATAATGGAAGAGAAGTATTATAAAGATACTAAAAGGGCCGAATAACAGAGAAAGAGAGCGCAGGACCTATCAACTTCATTTGAGAAATTGTTCTGGAATGAAGAGAAAAGGTACTTCGTCCAAGTTATTTGGCAGGACAACAAAAGCAGAAAGTGATCATGACACATCGACTGCAACTATCGCGTTCAGTGACATCGTAACTGATCAAATAAAGATAAAAACACTTTGATAACATCAGAAAATTCAACACCAAACTTGAATACGGCATTGCAAGATATCCACAAGACTCATACTTCTATTTATCGAAGTGGAATATTGGAAGAAAAGAAGTCGGTGAAGCAAGCCTACTATGGGGAGAAGTTGTAGACTAAATCACTGGCGCTAATTGAGTCTCAATGCCTAATGTATACAAACACGCAGGTGTGTGCATCATGACAGCGCTTCAGAATCAACAACTCTTCCCACTCTTTGATTATAAAAAGCGGTAATTTGGTAGTTTTGTAATTATTGTTATACTATAACATGTCTGTTGATATAACATAATAATAGTATTAGTAAAGTAAACCAAATAATATAAAATGGGAGAAATCGACTGATACTTAATGATGACCATTGGAAAATACTTTGCAAGTGTCAAAGATTTCAAAGTTGTTATGATGGTCATTCGAAAATTCAATTTATTCAATAAAGTGTACCACTTCAATCCACTTTAGTACATTTAACATCGCTCAAGGAAAACAAGTTGTTCCCAAACATCGAGACTTACCATCTCTACTCAAAGAGTAATTTTGAAACATTATTTCCAAAAAGGTCATTTTTGATTTGATCACTCACGAAGACACATTGGTCTTCCACAGAACATCGAGTGCACAAATGTTGTGTTTAGTCGAGAAGATGTTAAACTCTTTAATGGTGAAATAACAACATAAGAGGTACAGTCGTTGTCATCTTCATGTTTCAAATCATCAACTGAACAACTACAGTCAGTCTTAAACGTTATCTGGTATCTTTTGGACAATAAAAATTGGGCTATTTCGTAAAGCCGTCCCAAAAATCCATCCCAATTGTTTCAGGTTTTTTCATGTTTTACCTAGTGCCCGATATTTAGACACTATTAAAGCTATTTTGTCTATAACATTTGAGAATAAATAATGTTAAAAGACTGACTCTATAAACATTAAATTATTATCTATTTAAGTTTTTAAAAATAAACATATTATTTATTAATAATATTTATATTATTTTTTATAATAAGTTGATAAATGAATTAACATATTATTGCTATAGTTTATTTTGTTAAAACCTAACTGTTAAAACTATGGAACTTTTTAATTCAAATTTTTAATGATTACGCCCAAACGTTTGTTCTATTATCTATTATCATAACATTTCGATGTATTATAATATCATTGCTGTTATTGCTGTAATTACTATTGTTAATAGACCAATCGGTGGTTATCATTGTATATTTATTTGATTATTTATCTTGATGAAAACACTATGTTATTTACTGTGTTACATTTTCATCAGATCAAATAAGTTATAATTAACAATTAGAATAATACTTGTCACTCTATTGATTCATGAACATCTTATACAGTCCCTGAATTATTTGCTTTGTCTTTGACTATTGCATTGTCTATTTGATAATCTTTATTGTCTTTGAGTAACTTGTCCTGTTTTGAGTATTATCTTATGTCTTTGATTATTTCATTTCTTCTTTGAGTGTGTTGTCATGTCTTTGAACATCGCCTTATGTCTATGAGCATTACACTCTATGATATCATTGTATTATCGTTGTGAATTGATCGAGTCAAGTGTTATGGCTATTGTATTGTGTTATAATTGAAATTGTGTTTTAATTAATTATGGTTATTGTTACTAGTATAGTTAATAATATATTAATAATAAAATAAGTTATTATAAGAACTATAAGTTTAAATTTAGGTTTTTATAAATATAAAATATGTACTAAACAATTTAATTAATTATTAATACATTATTTCACTTTGTATAGTTTAAAACAATAGTATTGATATTATTTGTTATATAGTATATTTATCAATTAACATACATTTTTAGTTTTTGAGTTTGATTGTTATTATTTAATATAGTTTTAAAATATAAATATTTAGTTAGTAACGTTAAATATAAATATGAAAATAAACCTTTTACAATTATTATTAGTTGTTTTATAGCAGTTTTAATTATTAGTTACTGGCTTTTTGGTTTTATTATAAGTTGAATAGGTTTATTTTATTACATATTATTAATAAAAATACAATTATTTAATAGATTGTTATTTCATTGTTATTTGTGTTATTAAAATGTTATTTATAACTATCGGTTTGATGTGTAAAACAGTGCTGCATTTGTCACAATTTTTGTGTTAATTATGGCAATCACAGCAGTTATAAAATATAAACCGATATTTAAGAATTGAATTGGCTTGTTTTTTCATTAATTGGCCAAGTATTGATTCAAATAACTATCTGTTTCTAAGTTTTTTCTTATACAAAAGTCGGCTTTAAGCTCGCCGCTAGATCTAAAAGAACTAAGTGAACATAAATTCAATACCACTTTGGTGACGTGGCAAATAACAAAAAACACTTTTGTCACGTGATAGACCCTGGTTGGGGAATTGTGTGGGGCGGAGGAATTACAAATCGTACTTCTTCCTTCTCTTTTGGAGTGTAATGTATTTGGCGTATATCATGGCGTGTTCTTTGGCGGGACTTTTAGTTCCAATTGAAAAGCCATGGAGCTGGAAAGCGTTTTTGAAGTCTTGGAAATCGCACTACTTCTTGGAGTTTGTTATTACTATTTATTTAGTATTTTAAACTATATAGTATGTATAGAATATATAGTATATAGTATATTTACTATTATAAAAACCATTCAATCAAATTACACAAAAACCCTTCATTTTCCTCTATTGCTTCGTCTGTTTCGGTTTAATTGGCTATTTGTTCACTCGACACGTCATCCAAATATCCTTTGGTCAAACAACAAACGAGAAAAGAAAGAAACTCCGCGTTTACGACATGGGCTTTATTAAAAACTGGACGAACTTCTTGTTCAGTCCAATTCCACCACCATTTCCACTCCTTAGGTCAAACCCAAAGAAAACAAAACAAGCAAAAATGACTCAAGAATACACGCCACTCCAAATGGAACTTCAAACACCTCCAAACGGCATCAATGTTAAAATAGAAAAATGAACAGAAAAGTATTCTAGTAAATTAAACTATAATTAATTAGTTCTTGAATCACCAGATACTGAATAGTTTTTTTAATTAAATTAATCAAATTATTAATTAAAAACTTACAAAAAAAAACAATTAAAAATAAACTATACAAAAATAGTAAATTAAACTATTTAAAAACGAGTAACTCTTTTTTGATTAATGAATTACAGACAGACAACGTCTTAGTTCTTTTTATCTCGAGTATTCCTTCTCTTGTTGGACAAGTTAATTTTGAAATGGAAATAATCGGGGAAGTTCACTGGCTGTTTTACAAATATCGAGGAGTCACATTCAGTTCCTTTTGCCCACTTTGGTAACACGTATTTGTTGACGGTCCCTATTACCGTCTTTTTTCAAGGGTTTAACATCTTCATTCATGATACACTGATAAAGGTCTGCTCTGTGCTGGCTACACTCCCAACGCCTTCAGAATCCATCTCGACCCCCTGATCATTGTTGAAGACTGTTTCAGGTAATTCGACTTTTTTAGGCACTTTGAATTGCTTTTGTCTGTTTGTCGACACGGGTGAGGATCTGGCTGAGGATCTCACAGCGCATCGAGAGCCAATCCTTTGTCGCAAAGGTCTTAAACTTGAGACATGTCACATTCAACGCGTTTAATAAACTCTTTTGCTCATCGACAAGGACAGAAGTATCGATTCTCCCATCACGACATAGAGGAGAGAATAGAACTTCTTGAAACGCAGTTCGGTGGAGGTGAGAATTTCACTCTTGACAGTTGGAAGTGATAACAAACACATTCCAGTCAATGTATTTTCAAAGCAAAGCATTTCATTTTGCAATTTGAAATGCCACCACACAGTGATAATCTCGATCGTGTCAGAGATGATCACTACAAAGAAGTACGAAATTCTTTCCACCTCGACAAAGTCGTTATGAAGCGACGAGAAGGGTGCAAAGTCGAAATATCAATTATGCCATTTTGCTCGACACATATTCAAGACAAATTGCAAATTGTCGTCGACAACTCTTTTAATGGGAAACAAAAGATTGAAACGTTGAGCATGGAATCGTGATGGAAGTAACAACAAGTCTCGACTTTTCAGAAGTCAAAGAAGAGAGTTATTTGGGTGCTGGTGGGTTTGGGTTGTATATAAAGGGACGTTCTTATATATATAAATATAAATATATAAATTTATATTTATACATAAAATACACTGATTGTGCAATACAGTTGCAATCAAAAAGATGAAAGAGCACACAAAGTTGCTTGACATAATCGACGAATTTGAGAAGGAAGTTACTAAAAAAAATTCAGAAAAGTGTATATAGTGCACTTCTTTAACAAACAAAATCAAGACAAAGACATGTTTAGATGCTTCAAGAGTATTTTTGTATGTATTCATTAATGGGATCTTCCATCGAAATATAAAGCCAGATAACATCCTCATTTTCTCGTTAGAAGAGAATGTCACTGCAAACGGCAAACTGATGGACTTTGGATCGAGTCGAAATATCAACAGTTTGATGGAAAGTTTGACATTCAAACTAAAGTACTAAATATGTTGGTACTCCTATTTATATGGCCTCAGAAGTACTTCTCAAGTTCAAATACAAAACACCGGCAGATATGTATTCGTTTGGAGTGAGTATGTACGAGTGTTCCATTTGGCAAAGACCATTTTAGATTAAGGATTTGAGTATCTATGGAACAGAGTTAAATATGTTACCAGTGGTGAACATATTCCACGAACATATATATGTTATATATATTATAATATATTTTCCCTGAGGTTTAAGGGAAGTTTGTCCAATAAAAGTAATTGTTTTGTAACTAGAAATTTGTTTCTGTAGAAACTATTTTTCAAAATGTCTTTTTGTAACTTAGTTATTAGTATCCAGTTTGTTTATTCGTTAAATTATAATAAAACTAAAAAATATTTAAAAAAATGATATAATGAAAAAGGGTAATTTATTAACTTTGATAATCAAAGTATTATTATAATTAAACCATATATGATATTTTAAATATTGCATATTTTACAATCGAATCGTATCATTTTTGACAAAATGACAAATTCAGTTTTATCAAACTATTGCTAATCGTTTTGGTTACTAAAATTGATTTATTTTAAATTCGGAGATATAAGGGTATCCAATAGATAAACGTCCATCCAGTGGATAAAAGTTTTTTTAGTAAAATAAAGTCAATTTTGCATTCATTTTGAAGTTGACATCCAGTGATAACACAAGAATGTTGTCTGGATTGATGTTATTTGAAGACAGTTTACAAGTTATTATATGTAAACTTAATGTGTGGATTTTTCTGTTTTGGCACTTAAAGCAGCAAAAGGTGTATATTATATTTGTTTTGTTATAATAATATAGTTATTTATTAATAAAAAAACAATAAGTCAGGATTGGGTTTTTATAATTTAATTGTAGTTTTTAGTGTTGTTATTCTTATCACTAAACTATTTAATAATTTTTTACATAATTAACCAAGTTTAGTAAAAAAGTTTTGTATTAAGATATTCATGAGGATTGTTATTTTTTCTGATGATGGTAAATATCTTACACATAATTTCTTTCAATTTGGATTTTTTTGCCTAAGATCAAAAAGGTATATTTTGAAACACATGATTTTCTTTAAAAATGCTATTTATGGATTTTTTGAAAGATGATTCTTTTAGTTGATTTTTACAAAAAAATAACTTATTTCTATATTCTGATTTACCATTTGACCAACCTTTGTTAATATGAAAACAGATAACAGACATTAAAATTATCAAAAAAGTCGATTTTTTAATTAAAATCACAAAATAAATTAATCGAACAATTTTTAATCTTTTTCACAAAAAATACAATTTATTACAAATCAATTCATGATATTTCAATCAATAAAAAATGATAGCAAATAACATATTAATAATGTATACTTTATGCGATGACAATTTATGTATTTGCGCAAATTCAAAACGCGAGGTTTTGAAGATCGATAAAACAACGATTGATAAATAAACAAATTTGTGAAATTATTTTTTTTAAAGCGGTTTTATTTATTTTTAAAAAACATATACACACAAGAAATACATGTTTATATTATTATTTTTTTATCATACAATATTGATTTCAATAAATGTATCTTTAATTTATCAATCAATTTTATTTATTATTTGGCGTTTTTGTTATGTTTTGACGATTAATTGATATAATCAATTAACAAAACTCGCTTTTATCAATTCTTTGAAAATATAATTTTATTTATAGAATTTTTAATCAATAGTGGCAGTGCTATACATATCTCTGAGGATGGTAAGTCGTGTAACAAACAGACATTATCAACACAGATTTGAACATCTAAAAAGTGAAATGACGTGTTCCCATATTCAAAAATAGTAACTTACTCAATATACA